CATGGATATCGAGTTGACATATACGAGAGGTAAATCATCATCATCATTTCGTTGAGAGCGAATTTGAAATCAGATACACTGATATTCGCAAGCACTCACACGCAGCTGGTCGCAGTATTAATTTGGTCGGACTGTGTACATGAAACCGTTCCTAGAGTACCTCTCTTGAGCTCAGGTCCTCACCAGAAGAGGCCTTAGATTTGCAGAGATGCTCGGCGTTAAGGAGCAGCTACTATCGCATACAGTATGTTCACCTGTCGTCTCACTAGTGGATAACCGTGCTCAGGTACCGGTCTATGGTAGAACGATGCATGATCTCAACGGTGAGTCAACAGTAGCTTTATCGCCTTGCCAATCGCGTCTAGTAGGTACCACTACGTTCACTCCCTATGGACGTGATGGCGAATGCAATTTTTCTGTTGACCGCTCCCGGCTGAACAAATTCTGCATTGTAGGATGTATCTGTATCATCACACCATGATTACCAAGTGCAGGATGAGGCTGAGAAGGCCGGCGTTTGCATTCACTTCGACAGAACGCTCAGTCTAGAAGATACCTCATTGGAGGTGGCACTTCGACATTCCAAATCTGATAGCATCAATTCTCTATCAGGATCGACGCCTATGCTTCCACGACTCGGCTGGAGGAAAGCACTTTGTCGATCTGTCGCTGAGTAGCTCAGCCCAGTCCCTTTGTCACTGGTTGCTGACCATCCCTCAGATACAGCAGTCGTTGGTTGTGATGGAGCTGGCAGTCGATTACGGTAAGGTGATCTCGTCAGCTAATCCTGGTGACTCAACTTTAGTATAATCTACCTATAATACATATCTGTATTTTTGGAGGGGTATACAATCTTCTTCTTCTTCTTCTTCTTGCGCAGCACCCCTTCGAGCAGTATAGAGGTATAGCAGCAGGCTCAGTCACTGTCTGAGCCCTGGTATGAACCTGTAGATAGTGTGTTACACGGCAGAGAGTTTGATAAATCAATTTAATCAATTCAATTCAATCAATTGAATACGGTATCTCAGGCATATGTACAGATATAGACTATAATATAATCTATAATATATAGAACGCATATAATATACACTGCATAAGATTTATAATCATATAATCTGTAACATACACTCACTGCATATAATCATTATATGCAGTGAGTTACTGCGAGCACTAAGTATATGCACTGCCAGTGCATAGATCCACTGCCACCCCGAGGGTGGTTGCCAATCACTGCAGAAGAGCAGTGACTGCTCTTATTAATAATTATATATACCTTCACCTATCTACGCTCAGACACGCCTTGTCGAATGCTGGAGTGCTCACCTTCACTGAGGAGATGATAGGCCACGGCTATAAGGAGATCACCTTCCCGGCCTTATCGACTAGTGATGGCTCATGGGGGTAGGCCACCACTGAGGATGAACTATCTTCACTTCATCAGCAATTTCGCCATGCACAACGAGAGCCTCCACATCTGGCCGAGAGGAGATTTCTTCCTAATGGGTCTCGCCAATCTAGACGGCAGTTTCACCGGGACTATCTATGTAGCTCCATAAAGTCTCGCAGGATCATAATCTTCTTGACAGGCTAGGAACGGCCCCACTGGTGAAGATAACGATGCCCAGGTGGGCTCCGGTGTCGGCTGCGCATGGTCAACTACGTGGGAAAATTGCCGATGGTTTTTCAACATCTTCACTCTCAGTCGTGAGTGAATTTTTTTCACAATATGGAAATTTCTGAGCTCAGCTGAGGTAACCAAACGGATGTCGCATATTGTGTAGGTGACTTTCCCATCGATAACAAAAAATGAGACAACCGCTCGAGATTTTCTAGCGCAGTATTTCCCTGATGCCCAGCTGGGTGAGTATGTTGCGGATCCTCATGGTCCGATATTCCCTCGCAGCTCCCGA